CTAATCAAAATGAATTGTGTACTCCACAGAGAAATCAAGCTCTATAAAGTTAGTTCTGAAATTGATCAGAGGTAAAATGCAAAACATTAAAGTGTAAGAAACACACCTTCTTTTGCAAAAGCTTCTTCCAATCAAAATCCACTTTCTCATGCACATCCCAACCATAACTTCGAGCATCCTACACAGGATAAATACAGAACTTTTTTCACAATATTCATGTCCACAGAACAAAATTACTAATAACTTCAAAATGACTCTTTAAATGCACCCTACAATCATATCTCACTCTAAGAAATACTAAAGCTAGCATGCATGCTGGAGGCTGAGGATTCTAACGGTCAAATTCAAGTTAAAACCACCAGTGCTTCACGGTTGGGGGGAAGGTGTTCCAAAGTGAAAATATACCAATATTGCTGCTAAATGAAAACTAATGAACTCTGTTGCATTCTCGTAAAAATAAAAGTTAATAGACATTACATTCTACTAACCTGAAGCTCAGGACCAAAAGTTGCCCCATACATCAGAATCTTTTTGGGAACACAACCACGAATAACACACCTGAATTCCAGAATAAAAGATAAAATATGATAAAGAATGTTCAGTAACCTCTACATTAAATTTGTAAAAACAATTAAAAATAATAATTGAGAGCTTTGAAGGACAACTTACGTTCCGCCAATTCCTCCAATTACTTCTGAGCTGATTGGATCGAATGGAAGCTCACAGATGCCAACCTTCAAACATATTTTCAAATGTAATAAGCTAAATGTTAAGCAACCGATTCTTTGAAGAAAATACCAGATGAGAATAACAGTTGACAGAAAAAAACATAGGCTTAACGACATCAATGCTAAAATCTGTACAGATAGCTAGAAATAAATCATCAATATACATATGAAAAATAAAACAATTCAACCATCAAAATCTATTTAAGCCGATAAATGAAACCTTCGCTCCATGACTAGCTGAAAATCTACTAGCACGAACACCACCACTTCCTGCTCCAATAACGAATAAATCAAAGTCGTAGCGTTCCTCCGCTTCAGCCGGATGGCTCAGTTCCCCATCTATGAGCATCTTCCTCGACATAGCAAATGAATATTCGAGTTAAAACTGCGGTAAACAGAAATTCACCAAATAGACAAACAACAAACAATCAAACGATAGAGCTAAATGCATTTAGACGCAAGGAACTCGCAAACGACATGCCTTCAAATGAAGAACTAACGATTTGTTATTAGAGAAACAAAAGTCAAATTAAAATTCCTAATCCGCCGTCGCCACTAATCAGAAGTACATAAGAAAAATCAACAGTCAACCTGGCGAGTACATATAAAAATAGAAGAACCAAAGAAATTCACGAATCTTAGCTCATCCAAACGCTAGTAACACACAAGAACAGTCAATCGACGCATCAAACATTCAAACTCCATGCCTCAACAACCAAGATCTCTGACACTGACCATAAAACCTTCGGTATTAAAAGAAAATCAAACAAAAAACAAAGATCACCTAGCATTCACTTCTAAAGTTAAAACAAATAAGCAGGCAGCCAAAACCTCCAGTGACATATGTTTCTATCATTTTCCACTTCCACTTCCATCATTTTCTTAGCGAAGAAACAGTAAATAGCAACAGAATCTACCTCGATGAAGTTGATGGCTGCAAGAGGAGAAACTCTAGGGCTTCAACAGAGAAGCAAGGAGAAAACGACGGCTCGAAAGCTGAGCGATGATTGGCTGTATTTATATGTACCGAGCTGTGACTCAGTGAGAACGATGGAGACCGCGAAGAGGAAGAATCTGCCAAATGCCGTGCGGCTACCCGGCATCTTCGCTCCAGTTATTTTATATCCATCGGATGATGACGTGTCGCCGTTTTAACCGTCGCTTACTGGCGCCGTAAATCCAGTAATTTTTTGTCCGGATCACTTTTTCCAGCTTTTTTTCCCCTTAAATCTATTTTTCTATTTAATTTAAAAATTATTAAAAATGTCTAATAAAATTTTTATTTTTTTATTTTTTTTTGCTTGATAATATTCGGAATTTTTAATTTTACTTTATGCTTAATATAGCTATACAAAATAATTAAATATCTATAATTCTATAAATTTAATATTTAATCTATAGGTTAGTTTTAAAAAATTCATGACCAAAATCGAAATTAAAATGTTTAGAACGGGTAGGTGTTTATTAAGTTATGACATTTTTTTACGCAAACTCTTTATTCAATAATTAAAATTACGCTTTAATTTTAAGAGCAAAATACGAACATATCTTGTTAAAAATGTTTGATGAACACGACTCTCCACAATGGTATGATATTTTGTCCACCTTGAGCATAAACTCTCATGACTTTGCTTTGACTTCCCCAGAAGATATCATACTAATAAAGATAGTATTCATTGATTATAAACCCGTGATCATTCCCTAAATTAGTCGATGTGGGACTTTCATCATTCAACACCTCCTCTCGAACAAAGTACGCCTCCCCTTAATCGAGATATGACTCCTTTTTCTTTTGGAGTTCTTCGTTCGACATTTGAGGATTTACTATGGCACGACTAAGTTTAGGGCATGACTCTGATATCATGTTAGATGAACACGACTCTCCAGAGTGGTATGATATTGTCCACTTTGAGCATAAGCTCTCATGACTTTGCTTTGGCTTCCCTAAAAGACATCATACCAATAGAGATAGTATTCTTTTATTATAAACCTGTGATCATTCCCTAAATTACCTGACGTGGGACTTTCATCATCCAACACCTCATCTTGAACAAAGTACGTCTTCTCTTAATCGAGACTCGACTCCTTTTTCTTTTGGAGTTCTTCATTCGACATTTGAGGATTTACTATGGCACGACTAAGTTTAGGGCATGACTCTGATATCATGTTAGATGAACACGACTCTCTAGAGTGGTATGATATTGTCCACTTTGAGTATAAAGCTCTCATGGCTTTGCTTTGACCTTCCCCAAAAGACCTCGTACCAATAGAGATAGTATCCCTTGATTATAAACCCACGACGACTCCCTAAAATAGTCGACGTGGGACTTTCATCATCCAACAAAAAACACTTACTCGTTATAGTAAACTCGAACTTCAATTGCTTATTGATTAAGAAACCGAATCTTCAATTTCAAGAATAAAACACAATTATACTTAATTAAAAAGCATATACTTTAGATCGAGTTTCAATTACTTGTTGAATAAGGTATGAATTTAATGAAATGGTCCCATTACACTCATTTTTGCTCTCTTTGGCTATTGAAAGATTCCATCATTCAATGTGTTTGTTTTCCTTCTTAATTTGGAATCTATCTTTATTACTCTCCTTCTTATGTTCAACTACTTCTTTATTTTGTCTAATTTTTCAATTTCGAGTATAAATATTTTTTTAAGTGACCACTTATAGTTCAACTTAACTCGAACGAAAAGAAATGTTTTACTATGGAGTAAAAATATTATAATAATTTTTATTTAATTAATAAAATGAGTTAAGTAATTATGAAAAAATTATTACAAGTTTTTAATTTTCTTAGGTCGATAATCTCTAATATTTTTATTATAATTACAACGAGGATTGAATCTCTTCCATCCATAAAGCCTACTTATTAAATAGAATTACATGTATATTAAAAAAAAAAAGGGGGGGGGGGGG